CTCCGCGCAAGGGGGATGATCGCACCACGTTGTGTTAAAATGGTCAAGCACCCTCGAGGCATTTACACAGTGCTTACAGCTGTCTCTGGGAGTGGAAGCACCAGAAAATATTTAAAGTCATACGCAGCTATCATCCGTATGCAAGGAAGTACAGTAAGCACAAGATGCCGAAAACCCTTAGCAGGATGCAGCGCACCCTTCGTGCGACTCGCCGATTTTCTCACGGCGCTTCGCGCTTGGTGATGTGAGAGCCTGGTCAGGTGAGAACCCGGCGTGCTTCGTCTCGGCTTTGTAGGGATGCGAGGTCAATGGTCTAACGACTACGGCATGCATGACTATGAGTACACCCCCCCCTCCCCCCCCCTTGTACCCTGTCTTACCTCGCCGTGCTACCCTTGCCCCTGCCCGAACAACACGACGCCGCCAGCCCACAGGGCCCCCTGTCTTACTGTATTGTTCCGGGAAGAAGGGCCATCTCTTGACGTGTATTGGGTTCTTGGTCGTTGTCTTTGTGGCAGTTATGGATGGTACAGCAGCGAGGAAGGTAAGATGGGCCCCGAGAGGTTTAGGGCCGTTCCTACTTGTATGAGGGTTGTGGGTGCCATCGAAAAAGTTCTAGTTTCGGCGACACGGGGTGGTCCACCCATGTCTATTGTGCTGTAGTTGCTCAATGGTGTGTTGCGGCCTCTGTTGTTATCGGACGGAGGGTTGGGTCGCCTTGTGAGGAATGGGGGTTCGGCCAAAGCTTGTATATATCCGTGTATACATTGTCGTGTAGAGTGGGCTATATTGTGTCTCGCGACTGGCAATCCGAAGGGCACAAATCGGACAGTTTTTTTCGAGATACACCTTCCTGCCAGCATTACCGTTGTGCGCCAGGCTGCATCTGGTGTCATGAAAGGAGCGGTGACATCAGCCCGACTCTACTTGATGTTTTTTTGCGACGGCAAATGCCAGGGGTGTACGTGAGAATAAGAGGGGAGAGAGACATGTGTATAAGTTCGTGCTACCTTGTTGTCGTTTGTTGTATGGAGACCAATAGTTCGCTAGAGAACCGAAGCGGATCGTTGGGTTTGACGAGCGCTTGTTTGTTCCTGATGTCGTGCTTCCTCCCGTCGCTTTGGCCGGGATGTTTGGAAGTAGCCGCTGCGGTGAGGTTGTGCCCGCAAGTCGGCCTACTTTTCCGGTGGGCGAACTTGCATGATGGCGGGTCGCATGCGCGTATTGCCGGAGGATTACTAAGGGAAACGATATGTGCAGTTAGGTAGCGCCGGCGCGAACAAAGAAGAATCGAAATAGGTTAGTTCACGAAAGGGCCTGATAGTGTCTGTCTCTGAAGGTCGGCTTCAAGTGGCGTACGCAAGTTCGAGAGCAACGATCAGAGCAACGATCAGAGCATCGTGAGAGGATATGGGTGAGACCCTCATTTGACAGTTGAACGCCGTTTCGCCAAGACGGTGCCGAATGACAGTCCCACGATCGTGCTTTGTCCGAGAGAAGACTTCTACGCTGGGAGGACAGACGGAAGGGGGCGAGGCGCGATGGGTGGCAGTGATCATCATCGACCATAACCAATGAAGCACATTGCGATGCGTAGACGCATCAGCTGTCGAATTCCCAAGGGAAAAAAAAATACAGAGTTCACGACATGTGAAGGACCACACGAGGTGCGGACTTCTCTGGACGACCATCTCATGCAAGCTTCCTTTGTGAACGATATCACCTGCAGACCAAAACGTAGGAGAAAATCACCGTACTCTGGCTCACGGTAACTTCTCGACAGCAAAAAAGGTGCTACTCTGGAACATCAAATATTGTCCACCCCTTGGTCCTCCAGGTTACGAAACAGCCCGTGCATCTGCAGCCAAACCGTGCCCGCAGGGAGCGTGATGAGCCGGCATCGCTGATCCCACGCCCTGTTGAAAACGGCATCCTCGGCCGTGAGACGAGGCGTAACCCCGAGAAAGAAGGCCGCCGTTTCCTCCTGCGTTGATAACACCCAAAAGCAGAGGCCGTACATTACGCCCAAAATAGTCACACATACATTGGGATGCATGGTAGATTCGTTGGACAGTCGAAGGCGAGAGAGGATGTCAATGCGTTTCAAGCACAGTTCCCCACCTCTGCGGAGAAACCTCGAGAAATCCCCACCAATCTACTTCGCTTGATGGGCGTTGCCTTGCGGTCAATGATCAGGCGTTTTTTTCTCAACAAGTAGTATGAACGATGAAGATATCCAAGTCTCAGTGCAACAATTACGTGCATCAAAACAGACTTGCGTTCGTATTTCAGGACAGAACGCGCCCGCACTTCAGAACCTCTACTTAGTTTCGCCGAGGCTGGGGTTCTTCGTTCCCTAGGGTCATGCTACTAATGGTCACTATATAGGTTTTAGTGCAGGAGTTTTTAACTGAGCTCACAAATGGTGCTCAAGTTCCACCGTTGTGTTTTTTCAAGCTCAATTTCTTAACTCCTGGGCCCTTACGTGCGGGCGCGTTCTGTAAGAAACACTGGTAGAATAGCTGCCGACTCTGACTCCAATTGGTGTGAATTGCCGTGCACTAGGACCCGCCCGTTTAATCATTGGGAGGCCAGTCTCTCATCTATTCTTGACGGACAGCAGAGTCTACTCTATCTTTCAACAGGGCAATCGGGGTCCCTTTAAACGACGACGTCACCGTGATCGCAGGATCCAACTGAGGTACCTGCATGCTGCCGCTGGGTCTCCAGCACGGTATCGAAACCTCGGAAAAGCCAGGGGTGGACGGCAGATGGCGAAAGCCGTATCCCCTGAGCACGTTCCGGCCGTGCGTATCCAACTGCCACACCTGCAGCATCACACGAGGCCACCCCTGGGCATTGCATAGGCGGCACACATTGAAACGAGGGAGAAGTTCGACGGGTTTCGGCAGCAGGTCATCCGGTCCGGCAGTCTTTTGGTTGCCTGGCTACGTTTACAGACTCGACATAGAGTGCATAATTCAGGAGTGCACGCCAGTTGCTTTTCATGAGGGGGGCAATAGTTCAACGCATCTGCCAAGACGCATCTCGTAGTCCCTCCGCTTCGACGCAGAGAAACAAGAACGCCGCCGTCTTCTTCAAACCCCTCGCTCAACGTAGCCCCATCTTCTTGGAATTACTGGTTGGCCGTTGTTCAAGCAGAACGAAGAAGCAATGAAATCATTGAACTCTACCTGTATGCTCTTGGTAGTGTAGTGGAGATCAACCGGGTGATTCCACGGCGCGAACGTGTCTCCGTAGTCCATGTGTATCACGTGCGTCTGTCCCTCCTCGAGACCCGCCAGGCAAGTCCAGTGCCGGCCGCCCTCGACGCGAAAGCGGCAGGAGATCCCCGACCCAAAGCCTTCCGCCCCCGAGATCTCCCCGATAAAGTGCACCTTTTCGCCGGTATATATTAGGGAGTTCCGGCGGATACAAATGTATTCGTGTCACCCGTGTGCACGCTGTTCGCGACGTCGTTTCCCCAAGGGATCTCTCAACTGATGTCTGTCCTCGTCGTTGTGTTGCCTCCGTGTAAGGAAGTTCTGAAGGTTTTCTCTGCTCCTGGTGCCGCTTCTTAACTTTTAGGGTTTAGAACATCCTGCTGTGCGCATAAGTCTATGGGATGAATACTACCGCACGACGTAGGTTGTCCGTGGTTCTGCGTTATGCTTGCGAGCAATTCAAAGACGAAAATATTCTGGGAAGCAACAGACGAATATTGGTCGTCCTTGGGTTTCCGCCGGAAAAAGGGTTATTCCACAACGGTACGTGCATGGAGCGATAATCACATACATATTCCTTCAACTATTCCAGCTTCTGGAGCTGGCACCAAGATTTGCATGCTCGGGATTCGGACAATTGCCTTAGAACCACGAACCGCCGAGAACTCCGTGCTTGTTACCAAGCTCAACCTTTCCGCTGCAAATACATGCAGTATCAATTCGGTCAGGAACGAGATGTCGACAGGGTTGACGATTCCATGCAACTGCTGTCGTACTCAAGAGTGATTTTCCTCTGTGATGATGTCAGCACCCTCTTGTACCATCCGAGTGAGAGCCTTGACGGCCGACGGGTAATACGCAGGCACCCTATCCCTACCTCCGGTGCGCCTTCTGCGGCCACCCTATCCCGGAGGGAACGTCGGTTCTTCAGCTCTTTCACGGCCGGTTTTCTGATGTAGCCCATCTCCCGCATTTTTCGGTCGACCACGTGACCTAGCGTTACCTGCGCACCGACAGAGTTGTTAGCGCGCAATTAATAGAAACGGAGACGTTGCACATCGGGTAGAGAGGAGAAAAAAGAAGAATTGGCGACAACAAATACATTAAGTCTCGACAGATACCGTAGTAGTCGGAGAGATGGCACCGGGTGCGATCGTTTTTTATTGTTTTTTACTCGGATTTCTTATTGCACCCCGGTGCCATCTCTCCGACCGGTGCCATCTCTCCGGCACCGGTGCGGAAATGCAATTAAATCATTTCGTTTAGCATTTTCAAGACACCCCTGTGCGATCTCTCCGACCGGTGCCATCCCCAATGAAATACACACAGGTGTTGCATGCACGCACCCCGGTGCCATCTCCCCGACTGGTTCAATAGTATTGATATCAGTGTAGGCATACCCACACACACGGTCTTCTGCATACGCTAGTTGATAATGCTATTGATCAGTATAGAGGCACACGTACGTGTAGGTACCGTTGTTGCTGGTTTGAATCACACCGGTAACGGTAATGTACGCTGGTACGTGACAACTTTCCATACACAGCGAGTGGTCTTGTGTTTGAAGGTGAGTTCGGCTATGGCGTGACAAGGACAATAAATAATATGTCCATCTGAGGGACCGGTACGTACGGTATCACGCTGTATTCTGCTTTCGTTTCGATCTTCATCTACGGATACCAATACGTACGCAGCACTACAATAGTTTCGTGATGTGTAAGGTGGGGTCGGGTGCGGCTTGTACGTTGTATGTTTGGTTGAGTGTATGGTTGGCAACTGGCATTCCGGGTGAACCACGACCATGCATATGTACATACAGGACAGGAGGGGCGCTCCGCTGACAACGTCCCCACTTGCAAAAGGTACGCACATGTACCTCATTCCAGCAGCTGAAAGGGATTCAATCTTGGATTTGGGGGTCGGTGAAATCGCACCGGGTGCGATCTCACCGACCCCGGTGCCTGAATCGAATTAAATCATGCCGTTCTTGCATTTCTTTGCGCACGCCGGTGCCATCTCCCCGACCGGTGCCATCTCTCAGACTATCACGGTACCACGATTGTGTTTACCCGAAGAAGGATTCGCGGATGCAACCTACTCGGAAAGATCCCCATTTTTATGGTCCCATTTTCGGCCAACATAGTTCGAGAAATGTGATCCTCTGCCGAAGTGTTTCATATACCCACTTCTTTGTCTCCCGTTAGCGGGGCGTCGGTCAAGCTCTTGTCTTTGCTCCGTGCCCATTTCTTCTTCCGCTCCTGGTCACCTTCGTCTCTTTCCGCATCAAACTCATCTCGGTCCTCCGTCTCACTAACGTTTAGCGAAAAGAACAACATCGTTATCGAACGAAACGTGGGATATGTGGCAAATAGGTAATGTCACCCGCCAAATCCCAAAAGCTCCTAAATCCCATTTGGGGTAAATGTCGGCCAACAACGTCCAGAACTTTCACGCATGAGGTAAGCTTCGGCTCACGGCTGTTGATGCTAAAGCACTCATTTTTTTGGTTGACACCACCCCCAGTCACCGTCGTGCCAGGCACAACAGCTTGTCACCGCGTCCACAATCTCTACAGCTTGCTGTGACAGCAGTAGACCGCCCCCACCTTGCCGTGTCCGAGTCATCGCCTCGATTTTCTGGTGTATTCTGGACGCCGCTGGCTCCAATCAGACTGTTGGCTTCTCTTCCAGCCTTCCCCGCCTTTTCCTCTTCACCCTCGCCTTCGGTGTCGGACAAGGTATCTCCAGAGCTCGTGCCCCCCGTCGTTCCAGAGCTCGTGCGCCCCATTGTCCCAGGCTGTTCGACTTTCTTTCTTGTGGTTTCGCTGCTGGCTTGGTTCTCGCCTTCTTTCCCTCGACGAACCGACGACGCCGGGCTCTTCTTTTTCATGAGGCCCTTCCCCGCTTGCTTCATGCGGCTTCGCATCCCTCGGAAACGGCCACCATCGCCACCAGCGGCACCCTCGGCGAGATCGTTGGCGTTGTCACCGGGGGCTGCGGTTCCGACTCCATCTGCGTCTCCCGCGGCTTGCACCGCTTCGCGTTCGGCCTTCTTCTCCTCTTGGGTTGTCTCCGGCTGTTTTCTTGTGATTGCGCCGTCGCCATTTCTAGGCGTTCGCTCCGAGGTCCTGCCCACGGGAATGAGTGGATCGTGTTCCGTACCACTGCCCCCCACATCGTTGTCACTTTGCACAGCTGGGGTACCCTCCTTTCCTAAGTTATGCTCTACGCCCGAGCCTCTCCCACCAGCTTGAGGGCTACCTCTTGCAGTTGCTTGACCGGTCCGGTTGTTGTTCCTGCTGCCGGTATCTCTGGTTGAATCTCCCCGGTCAGAATCAATGTGGCTATTGGCATGTTCGGCCTGACCCCGAGACCCATCGCCCTTCGCTTCTAGTGTTTCCCGTGGCAGATTCACCCCCCCCGATCGAGGTGATTCGAAAGAGCCCCCTGATGTCCGCTCAACCTAGACAGCAGTGTACGCAAACGTCTGTTTCGTCCATGAGGCTATTTAGGTGGACTAGTCTAGACGTCCTGCAAATACGGAATAAGTGGCTTCCATTGGGGTGAAAACATGGCGGACTTTGAGAGATAAAAGAGGTTCTCGTTGCTGTTGGGACAATAGAACCTAGCGACACGGGACCCCGAGGCTTAGACTATGCTTGACTTGCTCTTATAAAGCACAGACCACTAACTGCTGTGTCATGGATTCCAAGAAAAATTGATTGCTCACCCACGGCTCACCTCTTCCCGCTTTTGCTGCTCGATACGTGCTCTTCTTGCCTCGAGTGGCGTGAGCTTTTTCTTGGGCTTTTCTTTTGGAGGAGCTCCACGCGCACTGAGAGGTTTTCCTAAATCATTGCCATTTTTTTCAGGATCAACCTCCTTGTCGTCGCCTGCGACTTTCTCCTCCGCAACAAAAGGGGCCGCTGCTGCAGGCGGATGGCGGCTTGTTGGTGGTCTAGCTCCTACCTGTTCGCTCTTTTCCCTTTCCGAACCTCTTGCCGCCGTTCCTTCTAGGGGTGCGCCCTTGTCACGAGCAGTGGGCGTACTTCTTCCTTCTTCGTCCTCATCCACCCGTGAAGTGCTCGTCTGCGATGTACCTGACACAGCCTTTGTGCTTTCATCGACGCTAACCTTGCTATTGTCGTCACCGCCGGCGTTCTCCTGCTGTTCTCTTTCTCGCCGTCTTCTCAGGCGTCTCCGTCTTCTCGCCTCTCGGTCTTCACGTTGTTGGGCGTGATCATCGCCCGTGGTCGGTTCTGCTGGTGCTGCTGCGTCTGATGCAGGAAGAGAGCCGGTGGAGCCGATCGGCGCAAGCGTCCTCCCTGCACGTGGCGCAGCAGTAGTAGGTGTTGCTGTTGGTACCGCGGCCGGGAACGAGGTACCATCCGCATCTTCGGCCGTGCGATCGCTGCTGAGCCGTTTTGCTGCGTTCTCTGCGCGCAGTTCCTTCAACGAGTGCATTGCCCGTGCGTCGGTGACAGCTCGAGCGGTGGCGCTCAGCGCGAGGACTGCAGTGGAGCCCTGGGTTTCCCCTCTCGCCGAAAGATACGATCCAAGAAGAGCGGGTAGATCTCACACAACCGAAACGCCTCGCGACATTATGGGCCTCCCGCATTCCCCGAGTCCCGCCGCATCTGCATCGGCAGCTCTGCCGCAACACAACAGGCAGCTTGACGCTGCCCTTGCTGCTTTCCTCTCTCCGCTCTGTGGCAAGCTTGGTGATGGTGCGGTTTGGTCAGGTCGTGGTGGGGCCGCCAGGCTCCGGCAAGACCACGTACTGCCTCGGTATGTGCCAGTATATGAAGGCGATCGGCAGGGACACGGCGGTGATCAATCTTGACCCAGCCAACCACGGTGAGGGGTTGCCGTACGCTGCAGCCGTGGACATCCAAGAGCTGGTGTCTGTGGAGGTAAGAGTATACGTAGCAGCAAGGTTGCAACGCACGTAGTGAACTCGGAGATAGTTTAACTTCGGAGTGTGTAGGCCTTTGCCATGACAGCCCTAGACTACTGCTGTACTACTGCTGTAGATCCTCAGCAGCGGAGGTTGACCAATGTGTTCTGAGTTTAAAATCTCCGCCCTTGTGGAAAGCTACAATGCAAAGTACACTACGGCCCTGCAGCACGTACACCTCCTCCCGCGATGTTTTTCCTGTGATGCGCTCGCCGCCGAAGCACAGGGGGTCATGGAGGAGTTCAACCTGGGCCCCAACGGCGCCATGCTGTACTGCCTGGAGTACCTGGAGAAGAACGTGGACTGGCTAATGGAGAAGCTAGACGGCCTCACCCAGAAGCACCTCATCTTCGACTTCCCAGGACAGGTAGAGATATAGGTGTGTGTGTGGTCTCATTCTGCAACAACACGACGAGAAAAGGATGGCACGCGATATCTATCTCGGCGTGCGTCGCCCCGTGCATGCGGGCGTAGCGGAGTAAAGGGGTTTTGATGTCCTTCGATGCGTTCGTGGATGCAGTCGATCACAATCTCGCAAGAGCCAACCAACCGGCGCCAACCTGCGATGTGTTTTTGTCTTTTTGTCTCGCGTTCTGAGTGTCACCCCGCGGGCAACCGAGTCGCGTACGAGAGCACTCAGCAGTGTTCCGCCTTGTTCGCCTTGAGCAGGCTGTCTTGCTTCTCGGCGAGCACATACGGTAAGCTCTCCAGGGCGATGTGCGTCTCGCTGTGACCGGGTGTTCCTGGCACACAAGCGCCGCCTCCCCTTCCCAGATACGTTGAATCTTTCTACCCTCAGATTGCTTGGTGTCTAGGAAGAGAGGCGCCACAGCTACGCCCTGGTGGAGCGATGCCCTACATCGTCACTGCTGTCCTTTTTTTTGCCCATGTCGTGGAGACCGCTTACCCATCACTGGGTATTGTTGTTGCTGTCACGTGCAACCAACAAACACAACAGGTGGAGCTTTTCACGCACTGTTTCTGTGTGCAGAACCTTGTGCAGCGGCTCCAGAAGGATGACGTCAGGCTGGCCGCGGTACACCTTGTCGACGCGTACCACTGCGGGTGAGAAAGGAGCTACCATTTGGCTACCACATCGACATCTTGGTGATATCGACGGAAGCGTATACGTAGTAAATGTAGAGTACTCGAGGTCCACTCGTTCGTTCTGGTATCCTTGACAAAAGTCAGGTCATCATTTGCTGTATTGCTGTAGGTCGAATGTCTCGCAATTATATTCCGAGCTTCTGCGTCGCTGTTCCTCACCCCTGCAGCTCAGCTATTAACCCTGTCCCCCAACCCGGACCCCCTCTCCCACATACCGTTTTTTCTCGGAAGGAACCCGTCTCTGTTCATCTCTGCGGCGTTGCTATCTCTCATGGTCATGCTGAGGCTTGAGCTGCCTCATGTCAACGTGCTCTCCAAGGTAGGAGCCTAAGTAATTTGTGCGTTCGGTGATGAGTCTAATTCATGATGAACGCACCGCCTGCGCTGTGAGCTCAGAAAGAGACGGCGAGAAGAGATAGCCGTTGTACGATTTGACCTCTTTCCGTGCGAAGGAAGCAAGGCACTGCGAAAAACAAGTCAGACGCCGTGTCGAAAGATGCATGCGGCGCTCCCGGCAACAGGCGTCCCCTCTCCCCCCAATACACAGCTCAAAAGCGAAGAACAGGAGGTGGAGACCCGTACCCGGGTTCAATGTTTCCCCAAAAGGAGCAGAGCGTTGATCACGCACTGGGAGTGCACAGCTGGGGATACGCCAGGAAAGGCGCCATCCTTCGCTCCGCTAAGAGCTTTGGACTCGCGTTGTACCGCCGGAAACGAATGGAGGCGGAAAACAAAGCGATTTTGGACCAAAAGAGGTACTGCTGCATATTGGTGATGAGCGAAACACACCAACCGCGGCGAAGAGCCGCAATAGGGTTGAAGTAAGCGGGCAGGGCAGCGTGAATCGAATACGGGCGCATTCGGATGAAAAATATGAAGACGGGGGGTGGAGGGTGTACTCATAGTCGTGCATGCCGTAGTCGTTAGACCATTGACCCCGCATCCCTACAAAGCCGGGACGGGGCACGCCGGGTTCTCACTGGACCAGGCTCTCACATCACCAAGCGCGAAGCACCGTGATGTACGGCGTTTCGCATGGAAGGTGCTCTGCATCCTGCTAAGAGTGTTCGGCATCTTGTACTTGTCTCCTAGCGTACGGATGACAGCTGCGTACGATATGACTTAAAATATTTTATGGTGCTTTCACTTCTAGAGACAATTGTAAGCACTGTGTAACTCCGCAGATTCCCAACAGCCGCTCAGAAACACCAAGTGAACTTGCCTACCGCCGTAACAACAGCATTTCTTTTTCTATCGTGCCTCACTAGATGAGTGTCTTTTAACTCCCGTGGTGGCTGGTTTCATATTGATGAAATTACTGTGCTGCTGTTGTTGTGCCTGATTACCGCGGCAACCCTTACCACTATGAAAATCATCGCCAAGGCCAGCCCTGAAAAATGAGTTGTCTTTTGACCTCAGGAAAATTCGCAACGATAGCAGCAACAGCAGATTGAGAATAGCTTTTTCATTTTGTGATAGACACGAGGAAGACATGCCAAAAGGAATGACCAAGAAACGATCGCGATAAGGCAGATGACACACGTCATACCAAGAAGCGATTTCCGCGTGACGTTGAATTCAGGAAATTTATGGGAAACATGTCAAATTTCGAAGAAAAGAAAGGGTTCTCTTGTTAAATCTATGGGCGAATCGCACCGACAGCAACAAAGCAACGGCACAGGATTTTTTGTCACTACAACAAGAAATTCGTCCAAAATCGGATAGTTTTAGCGTAAATATGGTCGTCTCAATGTGTAGCAGAAACGTGCCCAACTTTTGTTTGTTTTTTTGCCCGTGTTAAACGTGAGGAGGTTCTGCGACGGCGAGGAGACTGGAGGGTAGTCAAGGTTATATTTTTCACTCCCGAGAAGATGAGAAAGCTAACGCATGAATGAGGCAGGGAGAAGTAAATAGCGAAGAAAAAATTCAGTTACTGTACACAAAAAACTATGATCCGTAGTTGGGATGAACCCGAGGAGAGTCGAACTCCTAATCTTCAGGACTGGAATCTGACGCGTTGCCATTGCGCCACGGGTCCCGCTCACCGGCCACTTCATGCCGATTATTGGCAGGCAGTGTTTCAAAAGAATCAAGGGGTATTTTGACGCGGTATGTGAGTTCAAGCTTCATACACATTTTGTGGCAATAGCTTGCCTCGCTCCTACGACCTGGCTACCACAACCATAGGATAATCTCGCTCAGGATGTGCCATTTTTGTCGGGGACTTCAGCCGTCCGTCCCCCCCCCCGTTCCCCTGCAATACTTTCGCTGTGCGTTGCGGTGCGGTTTTTCTTGCCCAGTATGGTGCGATGTGGTACGGTGCGCTTTTGTTCATAAAAACCAGATAAAAACAGTGAGGATGCGGAATATATGGCGGTGCGAATATTGTCGAAAAAATAGCGCTCCTTGAACCTCCCCACAAATTGTCACCCATCTGGTAGAATCGTAATGTATCTTGTGGAAACATGGAAGAACTGTTGCCCAATTCACCGCACACCCCCTGCTTCACGTCATCGATCGTGCACG